AAATACTTCAATATGAAATACTTCCCAGCCAAGATGACATGATGTCTCTGGCTTGGCCCACTCTGCCAGCCCCAGGCAGAGAGATGAGTTTCTCCTTAAGGGTTCCTATGACTGAGGGTCTCGTGTGTGTCCAGAGACTGGATACAGACATTTTGGCAGCAGGCTCTTTTCCACACTAGTCAAATAAACCCCTTCTAGGCTGCACCGAGCTGGTGTTGGTTCAAGGACAGAGCCAGATCCTCCAGGCTGCCCCAATGTGATGGTGATGAGGGACTGGCCTTGAAAACCATCTAATTAGTTCTGTTCTAGGCAGGAGAGGCCTCCTTCACTGCTCAGCATAGCAGAACTGTGACATCACTGTTCTTACCACCAGTGGCATTGGGGATTTGCAGATCCCTCGTGTCCAGGGCTGTCCCCAGTTTTATCCCAGCATCTGCTGCCCTCATGAAGGAATAGCTTGTTCAGCCAGCAAAGGCAAGCTTGAACCAGGACTTCCCAGGTGAAGCTGGTGGTCTGTTGGTATTCAGAACGTTAATGTAGATGACGACAATGACTAAAAATCTATCAGTTTATTAATCAGGTCACCTGATCTCACCACAGTGTCTTTGAGAGAGAGACAGTGCCTGAGCCTAAATCCAGGTTATTTTACACTAACTTAGCATGTCAAATCCCAGGGCAAGTGAAATCAGACTCAGGCCTTCAGTTTTGTAGCAACAGCATGAAAAACAATGCAGCTGCATTGACCACTCAGGGTTTACACAGGTGTAACTATGATTTTGCTGTCAAAACTGGCATCTCCTGTGGTGAATGCTGGACTCCAGACCAACAGAAATGTCACCTCCGTGTCTCAAGGAGGCATTTCAATCTCAATCATCTCTGAATCAATCAATGAAAAAAGCACATCGATGTTAATAATGAAGCACCATGGGCCAGCACACAAAGCTCCCAGTGCCTGGCACTGGGGCTGCTGGTGTGTTGCCAGCCCATGGCTCAGACCCCAGCTCTCTAATTGCAGCAGCCAGTGCTATCAGCCCCCCAAAGTTGCCGTTCGTGTGTGATTCCAGGAAGGCAATTTATTACCCTGAAGAGCCCGACTCTTCTCTCCCATCCATCTATATCCCTGTGTTACGTTGTTTCTGTTAGCATAATCATTTCTCATGGAGAATGTCAATAAATGCTGGAGACAAAAGCAACACCAACACCACCAACAACAAAAGGCCCAACTGCTAAATAATTCCTAGAATGAGTTGTCAGAAACCTTTTATTTACTGATTCCGTGCATTTCATTTATTCCTGGCAGCGGGCCAACCTTTCTGACAGTTAAGATTTATTGATTTAATTGCCTAGGGTAACCATGCAATAAAATCATCTCAAAGATAAATTTTCATGGCACTGTGCAGCACTGAAGTAATTTTTCAAGTGCTATGGCTATATTTCTGCAGGTTACAGGTGCAAAATTTGCTTAAAGCAGAAATGTCTCATTATTGTAACCCCAGCACATCAGTGTGGTCCCTCCTGTGAAACTCTTCTTTTCCCTTTCTCCTTTCCCTTTTTTTCTCTGTCACTAGTTCCTTCTGTATCTCCCCCTGCTCCTTTTTTTTTTTTTTAAGAGGTACAACATAGGTCTCTAGAAAAGAAATTATATTTTCTTAATTGGTTCATATATTCAATGCCCAGGAGAAGTGAAGCTTCAGTTTAATTAGTAGTGGGCTTAGAGGTTATTTACAATGTTATACAGAAGCATTTGTTTCCAGCTGTGAGATGCTTTTTAACACCGAGGCCTCACAATGTAGCTGATTGCCGTTTGTGACATTATAGTTTATTGAATCTTTAGATCTTTTTATTTACACTGTTAAAGGGCTCATTATAGTTCAGAACAAGGAGCAAATGAAAATCCCTGATTAAATCCCAGGTTAATGGCAACATGTCTGAAGTCAGAGATAGTCTAAACTTTCAACAGTGTGAAATATTTTCTTCTCTCTTATTATTTATTTGGGGAGGGGGATGCTGTTTAGTGTCAGTGTAAGATTTAATGGCCTATTCCTCTGCCAGCCTTGGCAGCTTCCCTTGCCAAACCTTGATGTTTAATTCACTCTCCTGCCCCATTGAGGACATTTGGCCAAAGGCAGCTGCAAGGTGGTGCCAGCAGAACTCAGGCTGTGGAAGGGGTGGCTGCCGTGGCCTCTGCGAGCCATGCCAGGGCTGAGCCCAGCAGCCAAAATGTCACAGGAGAAACTAGGACACAAAGGAGAGGTTTTGCTCTGCCAGCCTGGCACAAATGCACAGTGAGGGCAGGAGACAGCTGTGCTGTGGAGACACTGAGCTCTCAGGCACCTCCTCAGGGTGACACTGTCCCTTGGGATACACTCTCCCACCACACCCGTGATGCTGTGGGTCAGTGGAGCTTCCCCAGCACCTCTGAAGGTTCCCAGAGCCCTTGGCAGGGCTGCTGCCAGGTTTGCCCTGCTGAGCTCATCTTGAATGACTCTTAGTCCCGTATGCCAGTGGACTTTCCCCCACCCTGATCTCATTCTGCAGCTTTCTCCTTCTCTTCACTGCAAAGTACAGACCTGACTCCTGTCCCTTGGCACCTTCCTGGGCACTCACTCACCACTGCTTCTCCAGCTCCCATCTGCAACTGCAGAGCTGTGCTGTGTACAGAAACTGCCCAGTAAGTCAGTCACAGGAAAACCCCATATATAGAAAATGCATAAATTATCTATTAAAGCTGAGTTCAATTTACAAGAAAGACAACTACATTTTTGGTCTGTTCATTTGGATTAGCTCCAAGACAAACATCATGTGAGATGTGTTCCTATCTCTGAGGGATAATTTGCTCCTTGTTACCAAAATCATACAGTCTGAGATGGGCAGAGTAAGGGTCTGTGTTATCATTGTTAACCCATAAATGGATCATATGAAGCTGTTTGCAAAATGACCTTATTTCAAATTATTAGTAATAAAATGTGAAATTGACTTCATGGCTCATATTTTCTGGTGGACTTGCAGATTTGCTCCACTGACAAGCTTGTGGATCTCACACAGCAAAGACTGACTTTAAAGCCTAGGACCTTTATGCTTGCAGTTTAACCTCTTCGACCTCTACTCCTCTGACTTCAGCCTTTCATTAGGTGAAATACGAAGGCGGGTTGGATACATTAAAAAGAGTATTAGTGAGAAGAGAGGCAGTTGAATCAATAATGTCAGTAAAGGTAGACCTATTTATAGAGAAACAATGTCAGCATATGATAAACCTGTGAGTAAATTGGCCCAAAGCCCAGACCTTTGTACTGGTTTGGAGAGCTTGAAGGGATCTGAGCAGCAACAAGAACAATCAGTAATCCCAGGGCTCAAATGTCAACCACGCCAAATGGGAATCAGAGAACCCAAAAAGTGTTCTGAGGTGGAAGAGGAAGGATGGAAGGACAAGCGAAAATTGGCATAGTTTCAAGTGTTGCCAAAGGAAAATGCCAAGTCCTTAAGGCTGGGCAGTGATAGGAAAAGCTGAGGTCCATAATTTCTCTCTTTAAAACAGGGAGCTGATCAGGCTGAGCAGACCTCCCACCCTCATACCACCCATAAGCCTCCAGGCACCTAAAATCAACAGGCACCTCCAAATTCAAGACAAAACCTGTCCAAGTATTCAGAAAAAAAATCCCACATTTACTAACTGGATACACAAGTCCTTCCATTGATCACCAAGAGAAGAAACTTGGTGATCAATGAGAATCTGGTTCAGCCTGACCAAACTGATACTTGAGCTTGGCTTTTTTTTTTTATAAGGTAACAGACCACAAAGCAATTTGAGTACAGTCTGGACTCTATACTCAGGTCTATAAATAACTAATATTGACTAGATGTGACATCTTATTTCTTTTCACTGACTCTATAGAAAGTCAGGGGATGTGAGTTTTAGTTAAGTTAATGTTGTAGACACCAATCCTAAGGGTCTTTGGGTCCTACTGCGACAAGTCACATGCTGAATGTACTCTTGGTAATTAACATTAGTTGGGAAATTTTAAAAGAACACAATTCCTGTTTCATGTAAACACTTGAGCAACTCCTTTTCTAGTTCCAAAGCATTTTTTTTCCTCAATTGTCAGAATTCTCCTTCTCTTCGCTCTGGCTCTGAAAATTGCAGTTTTGGGATAACTTCTCTAGGTTCTTCCCAGGGCACTCAGAAGACTTCAGCCTGAGTTACAGCGTGTCCTTTGTTCTGTTTCCTTAGGTTCTGAGATGTCCTCAGTGAAGTAGGACACACCAGATGATGTGGGTGGTTACGTTTCTGCTTAACTAACTCTTTCTGCTATTTTTTTTCCTTTTGGAATTCACTGCTGCTCTGGGCAGGCTGACAGCCCAGGAATGTGAGAGTACATGAAACCTGATAGATTTATGTTTGTGGGGGGAGCTCAGAAATTGCAATCAAATTGAGAAGCCTTCTAGTGAATGAAAACTCATTCAGAAATAAAACAAGTGAAAAAGAAAAAAAGCCCCTGCCCTTAGTGGTAGGTACATAGATCCAGATGTGTACCATACAAGTGTCTGTTCCCAACGAGCTAACCTGGGAGGAGATGGGCCCACAGCAGTGCACACAAATCACTTAAGCCCTGCCAAAAATCCACAGTATTGAGCCCTTCCAGGAATCTCAGTTATCCTCATTTGGAGTAAGTGATCAAGTGAGACAACAGTATCAGGTGGCCAGGTTTAGTGTCTCATGAGTGGTGGTCTCTGGGAGCCACATCCTAAACCACGCTGGGGCTGCTGGTTTTGCTGCAGTAGACTCAGTGTTCAGTCTGGAGCCACATTGGCCCAGCTCTGGTCACCCAGTGAGTGTATGCTAGGTGTCCCAAATGGAACGTAAATTAAAAGGGAAAGGGCTATCAATCATGTTAAGACCCCTACTGACACATACTGTGCTCACACACATAGCATAAACATCTCTAAAAAGCACATTTTTAAAGAACCAGAATTACAAGCTGTTCCAAAACCTCTGCACTTTATTAACATTGAGAATGTGTCCTTTGATATAAACTCTTCTAGAAATGATTCAGATGAATTAGCACAGGAAAATCTTGCTGAGTTGGAGAGCGCTGAATCGGAAGCAGTGCAGTCAGTGAATAATGAAAGTAAACCATCATTCCGAAGTATGACTAATGGTGACATGGCCTGTCTAGAAGAACAAATAACCAAGACATACTACTTGGCCCCAAAACTGGGCTGAACATCTTTTGAAATTACTTCACTGCTGTATGAAGACTATTAACAAAACAGGAAACCCTGCCAACTTGTGGACTACAAGTCCAATGAGGGAGAATTCCACTTGTCCACAGGAGAGACAGATGATTCACTTCATGAAGGAGCAGGACTTATTACTCTTAGAGGCAATATTAATAGATCCATCCAAAATCGCTCATGGAACAGATCTATTGATGTTGCCAAGATCCTTAGCTGAAAAATGAGCAGAGAAACTTGAATCTGCAATGTAGAATGCTGCCATGAAATGATTACATTTTGTGGCACCTAAAATGCTTTTATCAAAGGATGACTTGACGAGACATCAAGATAGCTAAATGCTTAAGACTGCATGTCAGTCAAAAACTTACATGTATTATTCAAGGTGCAGACTGAGCTTCAGTGAGGCAAAGGGAAAATACTAAACTAAGGCTTGCGGAGAGTGTGTTTGTGTAAAGATAGGAGATATCTTTTGCAATCTAGGTACATTCATTCTGCTTCTTGGGCTAGATGCATTGGGTGTGACTTAGCCAACTGCATGGGGAATTAATTTAAGCCACAGTGTCTAATTCAGGAGGTGCAGGAAATACTTTGTCTCAGCCTGGTGTGGTTCCAGGACCCAGTTAGGGCTGCAGAGGTTTTCAGCTCTGTGCTGGTAGCCCAGCAGCTAATGGCTGCCAGTTGTAGTATGAAGTAAAAGAAATGGCTGCCATCAGGAAAACGCCTTTTCTTTCCAACAATAAGGACAAGAACAACTCAGCTGCAATTCAGATTTACCACAACGACCCACCACTTGAGTGCCCTCACAACAAAGGAAGGTACTCCCCTACCCCCACATTTTGGAGCCCTAACACCATAACTTACCCATTCAGCATCTCAGTGCATATCCTGATCTTCACCTGCTTTGGGATGGCCAGGAAATAGAGAGCTCACATTTTCAATTATCCCCAAAGAAATGGTGTAGCTTTTTTCTGTGATTAGCTCTGTACACAGACTCAGCTGCTGAGCACAGCAATGGTTGTCCAGAACACACGAGTCCTGCTCAGGAGAGGGATGTGCAGCTGAAACCATCACTGATCTTTTTTTACATCATCAGAGCCTTACAAAAGGCATGAGCCATATTCTCTCCTGTAAAACACCAGAATCAGACAATCAGATTCTAGCTAAACAGCAAAAGCATCCTTTCTACAACAAATGAACAACTAGAAGACACAATGTATCTCTAAACCTTTATGCACGTACACATATATATGCTTTTTAACTATGTCAATGTCCTACCAGTTGGCTAAGAAGCCAAGGAAATATGCATTATACAGTCCAGAGCTGGCCTTTATAAAATTCTCAGTCATTCTATTGACATTATTTCCTACAGACCTCTCAGAGCATCTGACACAAAATGATTTTTCCTATGGAATTGATCAAAATAGTGGCAAAAGTAACGCGACAAAGAATCAGGGAAATAATCAATGACAGCAGAGTCCAAGCTTGGGAATAACCCATCACCAGTCACACAAAGAGGAAGAGCAAATACTTTAACTCCTTTCCTCTGTGTGGTATCACCTGAGAAAAGGACAGGGTCAAATTACTGCACTGTTAAAACCAGGAGTGAAACAAAGGTAAACACAGCTCATGTTTGAATTGCTGTCTCCTTGCAACTGTCTAATTGTGTCTACACCCAAAGGGTTTGCAAGGCAAGAGTGGGAGCAGAATGACAGAGAACTGCCTTAAAAATCTTAAATATGCTTATTCAGGGGGAAAAAAGCAAATTTTTCTATAGGGCACAGGTATCAATTAAACCTTCCAGTGGGGACATCTCCCTTGTGCTCCCAACATTAGCACTGGCTATGTTACACAACTCTATTTACACCTTTAGTTAATATGAATGAGCAGTTACCATACCAATTATTACTTTTTACAGTGTACATAAAGTTCTTGATTCAGTTAAGAGACAGGGTCAGTGTTTAAGCTGAGCTCAGCATTTAGCAAGCTTTCTTTCCTAGATGTTTTGATTACTTAGGAAAGCTTTAACCTCTACAACGTAATGAAGGACTGGAAAGTTGTAGGGTAATTTGTAGGAGAAAGGGTGTGCATGAGGATATATGCACTATTATAAAGCTCAATAAATAATCATGTGAAATTGCTGGCATTTAGGACCCTCTAGAGGGGAGCTTTCCCAGCCGGCTGCTGATCCCTCATACCCTGAGTAATTCCAGATTAAATCCACTGACTTTGTAGAAGTGTATGTGACATCAGAAACCTACCATGTATTTCCAAAATGCACGTTAATTGGCTCCAGACAGTGGCAAGGGGGTTGTACATGGCTACAACTATAGGGCTTCCCAACCATCCCCAGGGTGGCTCAGAGGGAAAGTGGTGCAGAGCTCAAACAGTCAGAGCTGTGGGAATGATGCAAGATGTCTTCCACTTGCATTTTATTGAGAGAGCCCATAAAATTCAAAATCCAGCTGTGCAGGTTGGTTCAGTCCACCTATTAAAAGGGCGGCGTTTTCTCATGCCTGTGATTGATATGGTTTAGGCACATCTGTGTACTTGCTTAACCCCCTTCCCTCCACCCTCTCCATCTCAAACCACTGCCTAGACATGAAAAGTGGGAATTTTGTCTTTTGCACATGAGCGTAAAAAACGCTTCTTGACTTCCACTGAACAACAATAATTGCTGGTTTGCTTTGATTCCCTCTCAATGCTAATTTTCCCCGGTTTTTCTCAGGGAAAACATGGAAGTCCACACCAGGGTAATCAGACCTTTTTCTTTCTTCACCTCTAAGGAGTAGGAAAGAGGCAGCTTGGTAAAGTGACCCGGACACATGTTACAACAGATAATCAATGGCTCTAGCAAAATGCACATGAAAGCATTCAAGCCCATGTTTCAGTAAACATTCTCCAGAATCTGTGGCTATTTATCAAATATGAATGCACTCTTCAGGATGAGGATCTCATTTCCCCCGGTGTTTTTGTTCCAAAAATAATTGGAAGTGACAATACATAGAAAGATGATGTTTCAACTTCATGTTTAAAATAAATATAAGGCTGTCATCAGAGCTGAGCTGTCTTGTGAAGATCCCTCTCATAGGAGTCAACAGGCAGCTCTGCTGATAGAGAATCGTGTTCCATTATTGATTAGCTTTTAAGTTCTTGTTACATATTAGATTAGGATCGCTGTATGCATAGGGAATGAATAGCCCAATTACAGTCTAAAATAGCTCATCTCAAAGTGGTTTAGGATTTTGATATTATAGAAAGAATTTTAAGGAAATTACAGGGTTTATTAAAAAAGCCTTTAAGGGAGATATTTACATTTTTATTGCATGGCTTTTCAGGATGGGGAGGGCAAACTATTCCTCCTTATATTACATACCAGGCTGCTTTTAGCTCCCTCCCAATTAGCTTTTCAAATCTTTGGGAGTTAGGGGTTTGCTATATGGGGAGCAGGTTTCCTGCACAGAAAGTACCAGACTAAGCAACCCCAGAGTTACATTTCCTGATTCCCCCAGTTTAAATGAGAGCACCCTACACTGAAATCCATACCAGGCTCTGTTCTGAGTGCAGCTGCTGAGACTCCAGGGCTTATTTTGGAGCCAGTGATGGTTCCCAGCAAAAGCTGGCATTCAGATGCTCTGCTGCTTCTTACTCTTTTGTGCAGGAGGGAAAATCTATCGATGGTGCTCAAAGAGTCACAGATCCCTGCCCTGGCCCTCAAGGGCACTGAGCATTGACCACAAGTAACTTGGAGTAGATTCAGGGCTGATCAAGCACATCCCGGTTCTCAGCAAAGGCACCAATCCCAGTGACTCCTGTGGACACGGGGGCAGCACCCTTATAATAAGATATTCCTGAGAGTGCTGCTTAACCTGCTTTAGTGTCGTCAGTTTTGTAAGACTGGAGCAATTCTAGGGATTTATCCTTAATTTTCAAAAGCAAGTAATGTTTTTGCTAAAATCTAGCAATCTTGAGGACAAGACATTTTCAAGACTAGGTAAGCAAAGCCATAGCTGAGGGGGTACAGAAGCCCAAACTCAAACCTCAGCTCCCCGTATCTACTCATCACAGCACTGACAATATCATATTTCGCAGGTTTTGTTCCCTATAACAACCCTGGATATTTTGGTATAGAAACCAACCACCCTTTTTCTACAGAGAATTTCTATCCTTCGGTGAGGTAGAACAGTTTTAAAAATAGATCTGACTTTCCCTCAAATTTGCCTAATTAATCATTCCCTTCACAGGTTAATTTGAGGTTAGCATTGACCACATCTCCAACAAAGCATGGAAAAGGTCACCAGAAATAGATTGCCAAGGCCTTAAAGGGACTCTGTGGACAAATGCTTGCCACTACCCAACACTATAAAAGTGTGATTAAAGGTAAAAGGAAGAACCAGGTGGGAGAGTTGCATGACCCCAGGATCGTTGCCAATGAAAAAAACACAGTGAAAAGATTTAGTAAGGCCTCCAGGCCCACTGACTCACTCCTTTTGGAAGGTAATATATGAAATCTTTAAGGAAAACTGCTCACTGAGTCGTACAGCACCAATAGATCCATAACATTCATATTAGTCTGCCACATAAGAAGCTCAAGTTCCCTTATTTTTCCACAGCTGCAAGCAACACAAGCACATGGAAGGCTTCCCTTCAGGAATGAAAGTCTGAGTCCTCATATAGGTGTACACACGGGGTCACACTGGCCACTCAGGTCAGACATCTCTCTTCTTTGCCCCTCCTGAACTGTATGCTAAGATATCCACATGAATTTACAGTGCCTTTCTAAATAAGGACCCATTCTGTGAGGTGCTCAGTACAGCAGTTTAATTCAGGGAAGTATTTTTTTAACTGAGGCTGCTTGTGCATGTTTAAAATTAAACAGCCTCGGGGCAAATTGCCTTATGCCCTACAGATGGACACTTGCTGGCTGTGAAATGCAAAATACAGATGTCTGCTCCACTTTATGTATATCTGCAACTTAATAGGGAAATCTATATCTTCATACAGGAAGAGTAGGGGTGAACTTAGAAGGAAAACGAGTTGTCTTGAGCCCAGTTATTTTTTGAGCTTGGGGACACTCCTATCCCAAGTGCACAGGTACAGCTGCAGATCCCCATTACTGTATGGTGGACATACCTGGTGGACATCCAGAAGGAGTGAAAATAAGCTACATGGACCACATGAGAGATGAATAGCTGCATCAACCACTTCTTCAATTTTTTAAGTTCAAAGTGACTCTTGGTCCAGGACACTGTGTGAGGAAATGTCTTCAGAAGTTCACTGGGTTTGCATCCTGCTCCTGGGAATTTTACTATTTGGTCCTTGAAGACAGGCCCAGGGCCAGGGACATGCTCCTGCCACACTGGTGTCCTGCACAGTGACCTGTGTAGGGACTGGGCAAAGCTCCCGTGCCTTGGTCTGCTCCAGAAGCTGCTCCATCACTCAGCAGCTCCATTAGTCCCTCCAGATTCTTATGTCTAAGTATCCACTTACTCAGCCTACAATGAGAATGATTTCTGTTAGACAACAAAAATTTTGGAAGCAAACAGACCAAGCTGACAAATGCACAGAGGATGTGCTTCAGTCTCATTAGAGTTCCATGTCTTTGACAGTCTATGTGGTCCATCATCCGCATTAAATAACTTGCACAATACTTACCTGTCCAAGTAGAGACTGTACTTCTTTCATAGTTGTACATTTTGTAGCCTTTAAGCAAGACCAGAGTGCTCTCTTAAAAAAAAAGATAAATTATTTTTATCATTATCATTATTGTTATCATTATCACTGCTATTGCTAACACTACCTTATGCTTAGAAATGGTCCTCTGCTTTCCTTTACTTCAGTAAAGCAAGAGCAATTATGTAGCTTCATCCGTTTCTCTAAAGGGCTGTGTGAAAAAAATGTTGCTTTGAAGAAAAAAAAATGATAATTTTTTACAAATACATAAAATAAGGCATTTTTGAGAGGCATTTTCACATATTGCTGAAATTACACGCAATGTGTGAAAATTTGCATAACAAATGTGACAAGATGGTTACTTAAGGGACTGAAACAGAAGGAATAAAATATATATTAGATACCTCATCTCTCATTAATTATTATTCTGAATGAGAAATAATGCCAGGAGCAAGAGGGGTGCCAGAAGAAGCGATGGGGAAATATATTATCATGTATCTAAAAACCTTTAAAAGGTGTAATAATAATTAGGAAATTATTGCACTACTGATCTTTTTTAGTAGCAGAGCAACCACCTGTTCACACTTTTATTAATTGGTTGCTTTCCTCTTCCTTAAAGATGGTCTGTGAAGATTGTTAAAGGAAAAGCAACCTGAGAAGAAAGGAGGAGAAAGAATTCATGTTATGCAAGCAAAAAAAAACTCCCTATAAAATTCCTAACTTTAATTAAGAGTCACAGGTGGAAAGACAGTACTACTTTAAGATTGGTTTATAGCAAAACATAATTTGGCTTCAAACAATAGCGATGGAAGAGAGTGAATGTTAATAATGCTGATTTTGTTAATTTTCTCCAAATGTCCTGCCTCTCCCAGCTTTTCTACCCAGTGCTCCCTAAGGTGTCAGTGGTGCAGACATGGAGCTAAGGCAGCTCTGTGCCCAGTGCTGGGGCCAGGCGAGGTGGTGGCCACAGGAGCCCTGGGCTTATCCAGCCGTGCCCTGGGGTGACCCACAGCGGTACATGGTCTCAGGCAACACCCCCCGGGTGAAGCTCTTGCTAAGCTGGAAAACTGCAGACTTTCTATTTTGGGGAATAATGCCGGTTAATGTATGTTTGTTGTCAGGCATCCATCTCCTGGACCACACTGCCACGTGCTGCTCAGGCCCCCACTGCTCCCCTCATTCCTGCTTGCCCACAGATGGAGATGAAAGCCCGGAGGTGTCCTGTGGCTGCATCGATCCCTTCCCTGCCACTGCTGTGGGAAGGGGCACAGCACAGCAGAGTCACCATGGCTGTTTGTGCCCACCGTGCTCCATAACTATGGCAGGCAATTTTGCAAGCACTTCTCATTATTCCCTCCTTTAGACTTTGAAACATTTACACTTTATCTCTCCTAAAACACAGAAATCCTTTTTTTTCTATCAGCCTCTTTCCTTCAAATCTCCCGTGGAAGCAGCACGGAATTTCCTATTTGCTCCTTGCTGCAGCCAAATCTTGCCTTAGGTTTCCAAAAAGCTTTTGTCTTGGCCTTCCCCAAAATCACCATCTCCCATAGATAGCAGCTTTGCTTAAAAGCAGAAGTGCGTGACCATTTTCCCTGTTACTCTCCCTTATGTTTCTTGTTTTCTATTCCCTCGCTTGAACCTCTTCTCTCTCAGCTCCAGTGTTTGGAGGCTGTATCCTCACTGTCTGCCCTCACTGGAAGGTGGTCCTCTGCCTGTGTGCTCCATCCAGGAGTTGCAGGACTCAAAACCGAGTCCAGTATTGGCACCTCCACCACTGCCATCCCATTCACCCAATCCACCCTCACATGGGAGTGGATAAAGTAAGCTCGGTATGGTCAGAAATAGGTGAGAGCAAAACGTCTGCTATGCCATGGCACTCCTAACTTCCCAAATACCTTTTACCTCATCATTCTGGAAATAACTCCATTCCCTGACATCCCTTTGGAGCCCAACAGCTGGGGCAGGCAAGCTGGAGGGGGAGGGAGGTGGAGAGGGAGGCGAAACACTTTACCAAGGGTCCTCTGCTGGTAAAAGACAGATGGTGCCAGTTCATTGTGCCATTCCCTGCTCCAGCTGTGAGAGGACCCCTGTGTTCTCTGTGGGCTCTGTGTGCTCTCACCTTGGCACCTACACCAGGACGAGCACCAGCAGTGGCTCCTGTGCAGGGCAGGGACCCCATGGCTCTGTCTCAGGGGGCTGGAAATGCAGCAGATAGCAAAAGCTAAATCCATTTAAAACAATTTTAAGAGGGAAAATAAGGCCCTTTCTGGGGATATTATTTCTAAGTCATGTTTTACTCTGCCATTAATATACTTTTGGAATGCATGAGAGCTCCCTGCACCCAAGGCAGGTAATAAAGGTCTATTAAAAGACACCATCTCTGTTTCCTAATGCTCTATCGAAGGTTCATTGATGAAAATAGCCATCTGGCTGCTCTCATCAGCTTTAAGGAATTCCATAAAAGAATGAAATATGATTTCCTCATAATTGCTTTTCTGTAAGATTTATGAGAATGTGAGTAACGAATAAACTGGGCACTTGCTGAACAAGACTCAGATTTAAGATGTGCTGATGCAAACGAGGAAGTGTCCAACTAGAAGATGCATTTCTTGGGAGAAATTTGAAAGTGTTTGCAAAAGCCACGAGTTACCACAAACACCTGGCTACGTTCACTGCTGGTATAAACACATACAGCTCCAGGGAGGCCAAAGGCACTGCATTGGTGTGCTCTAGCAGTAAATTTAGGTCTTGGACACCAGTTATGTGAAAAGCTCACAGCTGAGAAGAGGACTTTGACAGCATCTGGAAGATGTCCTGGCTATAGCTATGCAGCTGATTAAGCAGCAGCATGTTCTTTTGCCACCTGCATCTGATGATATTGTATGTGCGAAGCACGTCACATGCTTGGGGGATAAAAAGCAGGCCCTTAATGCCTGGCAGCACTGTTCATACTCCTGCCAAAAGTAAAAGTAGGAATGGACTGTGTGATTAGTGCTGTGGGATAATTAAATCCCATTTGCCAGCTATTCATCTGCCAGAGTGCAACGGTCATCGCTGTGCCTTTTTACTATTATGTCAATTATATGGTCCTATGACCTTTTGACTTCAGCATCATCTAAAGCATAGGATTGACACTTTATCTATTTCCAACTCTGATATGGGTTTTTGGTGTTGCTTAACTTTTTTGTCATCTTTTCAATCTCCAGGACAGGAATAATCAGAGAGTCATCTAGGTTGGAAAAGACCTTTAATGATTCATTGCCCAATTTCATTGCCCTTTAGGAGGCAATCACATACTACAGATGTAAGTGCCACTTAAATACTTGTAAACATGCCTGTCTCACTCTGTAGAAAAGGCAGTCATTACACTCTCATTCAATGCAAGAAAACTATTTAGTCCTGTGCAGTGAGGGTCTAAAATTGCTAATGAATGCCCATTTCTGAGGGTGCTCCACCTCTATGAGTGTTTGACATGCCCACCTATGTGTCCCCAGCAAGCTCAGGGATATCCCAGTCCCATACAGAAGTTGAGAGGAGGTGGTGAGCATTAGCTGGTCAGTGCTAGAAGATGTGAATAACGTGAGGGTAGATGCTTTTCTGAGTTTTTAATCTAAAAATTTTGAATCTGCCAAAGTTTGAGTCTGTACAAATACACGTCTCTCAAGCACCCTCTCCCAAGCACTTTCTCTCAACACTTTCTCTCTTTACAAACACATGCATTTTAAGGCTTGCAGCATGCATATATTTGGGTACTACCTGTACCCAGAAAAGCTAGTAACCAGTATCAAAAATTTTGCTACATTTTTTAACTAAATTTTACTAAATATTTAAAATTCATCACAGCTATAAGTGAGAGCAGAGTATGAAAGGGTAAGAGCCAGCCATTCTGGTAAGTCAGTGTTACAGCCACGCTTTTAACATTCCAGTTATTCATTCTGCTATTTCTTTTTTTATTTTTTTTCAGCTAATTACATCAATAAGACTTTATGAAAACTGTTGCCAAATGTTTAAAATTAGAGTAGTTCAGTTGTTATTTCAGTCCCAGGTTACTGAGGCAAATTGTACATGCTCACCTCGTGCATTCATTTGTGAACATTGGGCATATCAGTGATTAATTAATATTAATGGCAGAAATCACTTCAAACTTGCTTTATGCTAGAAATCACACACAATCTTGACTCTAATCACTCGGCACATAAAGAAACTTTAATTGATAACCCAGGTTTAATATCCATCAGAAATGGATTCTGTAGGAGGAACAGAGCAATGTTCCCTGTAATCATCCTAGAGGAGATAGAAAGCTTGTTCTACCAACATCAAAGAAGATTAGGCAGCAGAAGCCTGATAGTAAAGTAGCAATTATGGAGGGCTTTTTTAATTCTGTGCACCTGCTTCATCAAAATAATAGGCATCTTTTAGCAAAATAACCTGAAACTCAGTTCACTGACTTTCAATTATCTGATGCTGGGAAATGCATCTGTAGAGACATGAAAAAAGGTGATAGACACACAGAGAAATAAAGAGAAGGGGGAAATTAGAATGAGGAAAAATATGAGGGCCTAAGTAAGTGGGTGTTATAAATATCCCGTGCCTTGGGCCGAATACAGAACAGGAATACTTTTGCTGAGTTATGACTGTGGCATCAGGCACATCTGACCAAATCAGTCCTTGGTAGAGCACCTGTGACTACAGCAAACAGCTTACCCTAGGGACAGATTTGGCTGATTGCTTTTAAGGGGAATTTTAGATATCAAAACTTAATGCAAGCTAAGGAAGCACATGGTAACTTCCCACAAACACTTCAGGCTGTATAACTCAAAGCAAAAATTACTATCCTCAAATTGCCCCTTATCAGGTGGTCTTTCTATGCAAGGAATGACCACATAAGTTTCTTTCAAAAGGTGAATCTAAAGTTAGACTAGAGCCTATCTTCCCTGCAGGTGAGAAGGGGGAGGAAGCCCATACACAATCTTGGTTTTCTTAAGGAACTGCATCCCCGTTTCTGGAAAAGCAAAAATCAGAACCAGATTTAAGAAGTCTGCCTGGGATTTGGTACCCTTCCTTGTTAAGCTCTAAGGGCACTGCTTGTTTTTCAATACATCCCAATTTTTCCTGAAAACACTTTTTTGGAGATCAGTGGGTAATTCACTTCAACATCGCATGATCTGTCACCCTGGTGCCTCCAAAGGCAGAGCATAGCAGAGTTCTAAACAGAGAAAAGCTGCATTACCAGCCCCATTACCAGGAGGAGTTCTTGCCAGGCTTGGGTCAAAAACAAAGACAGCACTTCTCCATCTTTTTTTCCAGCTTTACATCCCTGTTAAATTTACTGTGCTCCCTCACACACATCTCAGTCTCTCCTCCATTACATACAATCACCCACACCTCGTTCTGACTCAGAAATGATCCCCACATGGATGCAGGTCAGGAGAGCTGCTCTCCATTTTATCTCCTGAACTCATGTTTCCCTGCACACATCCAGCAGATGCTGCTCCATATGCTGGAGGCTGAAGCACAGGAGATCATGATGCAACAACCATGACTGGCAGAGGCTGATCCTTCAGCAAGAATCACAGCCACATCCCACTTCATGTGAATGAAATACAAGTAATTCCATTGTAATTAAACAGGAATTTTTGTGTGAATTCCAAATGAACCTTTGTAACATTTTCATTAGTCCTCAATACACCTCTTATTTTACCTCATTAGAATTATTGGTAATAAATGGTAGTAACTGAACTGTAATTAAATAGGAATTAAAATTTGACTTCCTAATGAACTACAGCAAAGCAATCACTATTTCAATATACATTAATTGCTGTTCTGTTAGGAATACAGGCAACTTATTTTTATTGAATTGCTACAAATTACAATGAATATATGGCCTGAGCCTACAAAATGGTCTCACATCAGTAAGTGTGCCTGGTAGATGTCAGACAGCTGTGCAGGAAGCAGATCTAGCCAAGGAACTTGGGACTTGCAGCATGCTAATGCCAGTAGAGAATACACTGGATTATGACATTCCCAGAATAAACTTTCATTTCAGAACCTCGCTATTAATTTACAAACAGAACAGACAAGATGCCATTGGGGCTGCCATTGGGGAAGTGGACTAAAAGGTGTGAGAAACCAACAGCAATAATACCGGACTAGTGCATTTTTATGTTATTGGCCGCTGTTTGATTATAATAAAAGTGCTTTGTAATATATCCTGGGGTGGTAAACTGCATATAGAAAACCCCATTTTATTATTTATACATTCTGTCTCGGCATGTAGAAATATATATAATATATGAATGAATAAAATTTCACTTCTATGACTGTTCTAGCTTTAAAAGCCACAGATTGCTGTTTCCTTGTATTACTGTTGTGGATGTAGCAGGTGTTTGGTGTAGGAAGTGTAAGCTACGAGAGGCATGTCTGTAAAAGGGAGTGCTGAGTATTTAACAGGGGCTGGTATCCATACTCAGGGCAGACTTTCTGGTTTAGCGGGATGGGTGGGGGAGAGAACCCAAAGCTTTCTGTTGTCACTCTGAAAGCTGGCAGCAGCCTTCCATCTCCAAAGTGATGGACTCTGGACTGAATTCTCCAGGCTTTAACAGAGTGTGAATTCCCCCATTAACTACCGAGGAGTTTTTTCCATCCAATTTCTGGCCCATCATGTCATCTCATACTGTTGATTTTTAGGGGACAGCAGCAGCTGGTCATCACAGACATGGGACAGCCAGTTTCTTTGGCACAGCATGAGCCGAACACACTGATGTGATCACAGGGTCTGTCTCAACGTGGTTTTACATGCCCCGAAACATCCTCATGACTCCATTTTTTTAACCATTGCTATCATTTTTGCTCTCCTCATCCTGCAAAGTGAGTATCTGACTGACATTTACAATCCCTCTGGATTTCCAGACCCAGCAGGTGAAATTCAGAATCAGGCTCCGGGATAGGAACTGCGAGAGCCAGTCATGTGTGGGCTTGGGAGAGGGCAGCTCACTGCTTAGGCATCCTTGTTATACTGAAATTTAAATCACAGAGACTGAAAGGGGAAAGCAAACTCACTTTTTCAATTTTGTTACCTAATCAAAACTCTGAAGCTTTCTAGTGCTGGAGAGTGTTCACATATCATCCACTTTCCATATCCAATGCTGACAAAACAATAAGGCAGGAATAACATAAGTCGTGAGAAAACTAGTCTGTCTCATAAATCTTCACAGGAAAGTGGCTGCTGTTTTATGTTATTGCAGTGTGTTGTTTCCAATGAAGTGATTACTGTTAGATGTATTTTTAAATTGCTTTTGGTATTTTTAAAAATACATGACTTGGAGAGTGATAGAAATGAGATTGAGTGGCGGTAGGCAGTGCCTACAATATGATTAACTTTTTCCCAGACCAGCTACTTTGGAAATTAAGGTTACCAACACAGCTGTTGTCAACTTTCCCCTGGCTGAAAAGGACTCATTGGAGTCTGTTTGATGTATGCAATTATCCTACAGCCCACTTAAATCCTCCTCCTGCTTCAGACACTACGCGGGCTTGCATTCTGCTTCGAGTTGTTTGATTAATATTTGCTGGTGTTATTTTAAAGTGTGAATGTGCATGTTTATGCACTAAATCCCTGTAGCACAGTCTCAAGTTACATCCTGTTGTGACTGACAAGTTGTGGTTTCTGTCCACGGAGGGGAGGAACCACTTTGTGTGTTAACAGCTTCAACCAAAGCACACACGCTTCCAAAAAGGCTGAGCTACGTTTTAGATAAAGTTCATTTGGAAGACATTCAAGGCAATAAATATCAAGTGGGAGATTTTCTGAGGGCTTTACAAGTCATTAAAACTCCAGGTAGATTTTACCTACCAGAGGCTTCACTTGTGGCTTGCTGAGTTCACACGGTCCTTTTCCTGCATATCATCATATTCCTTCCAGTGGCTAATGAAGCCTGTAACCATCCCAGGGCCCACCTACAGGGTCCCTGCGTGCTCCACAGACCAGGCACTACAGGGTTAAGCTTGCTCAGACAAGAGGAGACTCAATAAGAGGCAAAAGGAAAATGAATTAGAGGAAAATCAACAGGCAGCAAAGGAAAAACTAAATTACATTTCATGTACACACATGCACTCTTTTGGCTGGAGGGGCAGAAAACATAGCCAAAACCTGGCTGTTTTTATTCTAAACAGTGCATCAATCCATTGATTAATTTTACACTTTGTTCCTTATGAACCTGGGCTGGGGCCATGAATGCTGCTATGAAAAGAAGAATATAGCCAAAAAGGAACTCTTAAAAAGTTGGCAGCTGTTTCAAGGCAATGTGTCTGGCCAGCAGGAAGGAGATGGCTCCTCCAGGGAAGTGTATAGAGCTGTAAAACCATTTGTGAACTGGCCCAGTTCAGTTTATAAGGTGTGTGACTGACTTAAAGTCAAGTTTCTTGCACAAATTTGTGACTTGTAAATCGAATTATAAAAGCAGTCTTAAGTATCATTTTTCCAAAAGGGCATTACAAGATTGGTTAAGAATGACTGTATTTCCTCACTAATACCATTAACTTCAGAATTGTTTCCATCCATTACTGAGTAGAACAAGGACAGTTTACCGTAAATTGCTCCATGCTGTGTGGTTCAACTGGTCAGCTTCATGGTATAAGAAGCATAAATAAAACAAAACCAAATCAAGGAATACAATGAAACACCATGGACCAACTTCAGTCTTGGTATAATCAAATTCAAATGGAAATTAATGGAGTTGCACTCACTCACACCAAGGCTGACACATCCCTTGGCCACAGAGCAGGGGGAGGCAAATGTCACCTCTCTGTGTTGCTTCCCAGGAACAGCTACGGTGAGCACGTGAAGGCTATGAGCTCATTCCAGTTACCTGCTATCTGCTGCCTAGGTGTTTTCTGGAAAGCTTAATTTAGCCAGGATTCCTCTTTTGTAAGTGTGTATTCCTTTCAGCAAGTTAGGAGGTTAAGGAATGATTTGGGAAATACCCTTAAAATCTCTCCAGGGTCAGCCAAGAGTGACTTTCGGTGGGTGGAGATCTGCGTAAGATCTCAAGAAAATCGGATGGAAGGAGGGGGGAATTCTGTCCGTGATATATCTTGTCATCCAGACCATGTTGCTTAGTGCAGGAGAGGGACGTGAGTTTCCATTTACAGGAGGTTCAGAAATCCCAGGCCACTGCTTATCTTGTTTGTATGAAGCAAGGGATAGCACGAATCCCACTTACTGACAGAGAAACTCACCTTCTGTAGAAAACTTACACAAAACCAGGACACCACTGCCTTAAAACAGGGATCAGCAGAGGCCCAGGACACAGGGGTTTCACACAGGCAATCTGACCATTCCCTGGATGAACACACAGCACTCCATGGCCACATACCTTCTGGCATCTGCCTGGGAGTTTGGCTCAATGGTGAATGTGACTTGTGCTCAAATTTGGCAACTGCAATGAGAAAACATGATATTTAGGTGACTTTCTAAACCATTGCTCATCTAAGCCACAAAGCTGCTGCTGCTTTGGTTATTCAACTATTCAATTTTCACACCTTCTTAGTGCCTACAACCTCAACATAAACACTTCTGAGCAAACAGGAGATCCAAAATCTCTGCACAGAACCAATTCTTTCCCTTCTCACTGTATATCAGTGCTGCTAATTGCTAATTAATCACAGATTTTACCCATCCCCCCTCTTGCCCAAGTTTTATGGTTGAAGTTTTGTTTGAACTGTGCTTCTCCCAGCTGAGCAGTGCTTGAGGGTCAACAGAGCTGTGCCATGTACTGTGAAAAGTGATGCTTCTTTTAAGGGACCTCGTTATTGAAATAACTTTTGAGTTAATGTTTGGAAATAACTTTGAAATGAGGACTTGCACAGATTTGTTTTCTTAGTGCAGCAATTAGCTCCTTGAGCAGTGACTGGCTGCAGTACCTTCTGCCATGTCTGACACATTAAATAAATTTTGCACTCAGTTCATTAGCTGGAAATACACTTTGTAATACCTGCCGAGTTACAGGACACGCAGCAAAGCCACAGTTCACTTCAACTAGAAAAATGAAGTCAGGTTTTGCTGCTCCTGCATAAACAAAAAAAGGATGGGGGGAAAAAAGGTAAATAAGATACTGTTTTTCCTACCAGTTGGCTCAGTCCGTTTGCTTCAGAACACTGCCCCTCTGCCTTGCTCCCTTTTTAATTATCAGGTTGTGATTCTCTCTTTCCCACCAAGTTGGACAACCTCAGCAAAATCTCCCATTGCTTCTGGTGGAAAGACGCAGCATTGGTCATTTTTAATGAAAGTACAATGTCACAGCCTCAAAAAACAACTTTAGTATTTTTCCTGCCAGTCCAGCTCACTGTTGTGAGGAAAGCTGTTGCAAGTGGTCTGTTTGTCAGGCTTTCCCTGGGCAGGCAGTGGCCACCAGACACCTTTGTGGAAAGGTGGAAGCTGGGCAAGGAAAAGTGTGAGTTGTCTTTCATGCTTGCTGGATTCCAGTCAGTGCATGGGGACAGACTGACAGCACTGACTGTGCCCATGGGAGATGGGATGAGCTGTGGAGGCAGCATCTGTTGATCCAACAGCATTTCACCCACCCACCTGTATGGAAACAGGACCATGGCTGGGTCTGCAGTTGTGCAGTGTGGATGGAGGGAGGCACAGCTACTGCTGCTCTGGATGCAGAAGGTGGAGCTGTTACTGTCCAGCAGTTGGTGCAGTCAGGGCCCTGGCCTGGGGCAGTACAACATCCAGGATCTTACCATGCAGGGCATGACATTTAAAGAGAGAAGGGGACTTTTAAATACCAGTTAGCAGTTGAACTTAACTAGAGATGGCAGGGCAGGAGGATGAGGAGACCTTTGGAGCCTTATCCTTCTCTTCCAGCCTCATAATTCAAAGCAGCCCTAAAAACAAAGCCCAGATCCAGCCAACTTCAAGTACATCCTTGAGCTCAAGATTTCTTTATCCAAAGGATAGTCCTCCTTTCTTCAAAGATGCTGGAGCCAATCACTAATGGTAACTAGTCAGGAAGCACTGTGGGATTCAGCCCAGAACAACAGGATGCATTTTGCAGAGGAAAACACCTGTAATTAAAATCCTAAATACATATTCAAGCAACAAAATTGGTGACATGATTTGGCAGAAGTGAGAAGCAGCGATGTCAGCAGAGGCACCAAGGTGAACCCTGTTAGAGCTGCCACCCTGAAACAGGCCTTGGGTGGCTTACTCCATTTTTTTGTTCAATCAGATTCCCCCAAGTAGAATTAAAAGGTTTAGCCACTGCACGCCAGCTGCCCTCTTCCCAGTCAACATACCATGGATGACACAGGTCTGCTATGCAAAAATCGTAGTGTGTAAAGAAGAGGATAAAGGAGAGAAGAAATCTAATAAATACTCCATTATCTCCAGTGTATATTATGCAAAATTTGGCATGAAATCTTTATCTCACATAAACATGAAGGTCACTTATTTGTTCATTAAATTCTCCTCAGTCTACATCATTATGCTCATAGTTTTTCTTATACTTAATATAGTAGGGGCCTGCCAAACTCATTAGACATCAGCTGATAAATGGATTTGAACTCACAATCTGTTAAAAATCACATAGGCACATTAGAGCAATATTTTCATGGCTTAGAGAGTGTATACATTTAAATCTTCCCAGAGAGGATTTTGAGCATTTTTGATCCAGTGCAGCAGACTCAACACATAATTCAAGTCTGCTTGCTGTAAAAATTTACAGGCTGGGATCTTAGCATCACTAGTCATAAATCAAAGCTGTGCACTTAAAAATGTGATAGTGGCAAAACTGTTGGATAGGGTGTAAACATCATCAAGCTCATTGCCATGCAGAACTTGCATTGAAATAATGGGAGAGATATTGTTAAATGTTGCATGTATTTTCACTCTTCTGGCAGAATTTGTACACATAATATATAACCCTGTGTAATTTCCAGCCTGGGCAAATCTCTGGATAAGGAAGAGCTTTCTGAAGCTGTCCTGGATTCTCACCCTGGTGTCATGACTTCAAATAAGCTTTTACATGAAACGTGGACAGAAGGGAACATGGGGCATATTTATGCCATAGTTTATGTTTCACTTACTCATTGCTCTTTATTGTAATTTCCCCCAACTGATGATAAAATGCTTATAAAGCATTGGGCTGATAATTTGCAGGCTCTCCCGCTGCTCTGTTTGTTATAAAGCTACTCATGTCTCCAGGAGAGTCTTTCTTCCTTTTGGATTTATGAGCCTAATGAACCACTGTTATTCTCCATCACAGGAGCCAGTGATGCTGTGACATTATAGCAGGAAGATTTGAAAACTTACGAGAAAGCACTTGAAACAAACTGCTGCTCTTAATAAGTGCCTCTTGTCTTCAGTGTGGTCTGAGGAAGATCTAAGTGAGCTAATGAATGATAAGAACAAACCAAGTCCTGCAATAACCCTGCAAGCTCTGCTGCAGGGTAAGCAGTGCTAGTGAGACAAATCTGCTGGGATGAACACTATTTATCAGTGGCAGGATGCTGATACACAGCTCCACTGACAGGCCCACTCTGCATACAAGAGCCTGAGTCCTCAGGTCTGCTTAGATTCTCCAGATGAGGGTTGTTGGATGTATAAGAGTAAATACAATTAAATGTAGCTGCAATTAAATTTAACTTTCACCTTACTGAAAGGCCTTTCACTGGAGCTCACCTGGTTGACTAGGCAACCTTTTGCCCCCCTAGGTGCTCTAGATTCACTTAACATATCTTTTTCCAGGGCTGTTCTTGACAGTCACGAAATTCATACAATTTCAAGCCAAAGAAGTGGAAGTGGGAGAAAAGGGATCACTTTCTGAAGACCAGCTGCAGACTGCTGGCTCCCACAAGGCTCCAAGCAGTGTCAGACAGCTCCTCCACAGCATGGCTGGTCAGGGCTCACCTGTAGGGCCACCCTGCACCGTGGGCTTCTCTGACAGTCTTGACATACCCACTGTTGTCCAGGGTGGATGCTAGAGGTGGCTGGAACTTTTGTCTGCAGGTGAGCAATCTTGCCAAAACAAAGAGACCTTCCACCACACACAATGCTTGAGCATGCTGTCAACTCTCTGTATAATTCATAAAAGTTCTGCTGTCTGCAGTTACTCTATAATCATCACATCTTCCATCATGGCACACATATCTCAGCAATTGTACCCATTACAAAACCACCAAAGCATAATGGGAAACAATGACATGCTCCTTTTTTTTTTTTTTATGTGATTCAGTGGGATTGGGAACTCAGTGCAATACAGATCATTTAGCCAGCAAAACACTAGTGGAAGATGTATGGTGACATGCCAATCAGTGCTTTGAAAAGCTCAACCTAGGTGACTGTCTGTTAAAAAGTATTCAAAAGCCCCAATTACAATCAGTTAAAAGCAATAAGCATGTAAATTATTTTAAAACAAACTTTAATTAATTTCAGCATATGTTTCACTTAGGCTGATTAGTCAAATCTGATTTTCTGAAAAGAAAAAATAAACATCTGCTAATGATGATTTACATATTACCACTCACATGGCCTGCAGTGTGTTCTGAGGTTTTGCACAGCACAGGGAAGCGACGTCGTGCTGTGCCCGAGACCCCCAGGCTGCAGCCACCAGGTACAGAGAGCAACAGAAATAATTCTTTGATGAAATGCCTAGACATGCCCTAAAAGAACATGATGGTGTTGATATGAACAACCGTCCCAGTAAGGACTTTCCTTTTTGTTAAGGGCTCTTTGGGTGAAAAACAGGTAAAGCAGCTTGAAGTCTGGGCTCGGGAGACCCCAAACTGAAGCTCTGCACAGCATGACCTTGGTACAGGCCAGAACTTCAAGATGCCAAGAGAGAAGCTTTTCAGGCAGCTGAAAACAAGGGCTTAACCTACTGTTCAGACCCCATTTCCCTCTAAAACCAGTGGAAAAAAATTATCATTTGCAATAAACACAATCACTTATTCTCTGTTCATTATATAGGGAGACAGGATGTGATAATCCTGCATAGGCTAAACCCTCTTTATGCCCAAGAGTCCATTGTGGGAGGCCTGAATACAGCCCCCTCATACCTTTGGGCCTGAACCTCATGGTAATGTAAATATTTAAAAGTCCATGGCATTTTATATTCACAAGGCTGATAATGGAATAGTTTTAATATCCTTACAATGCCAAATCCAGATTAACACAATAACAGTGGCTCCCAAGCAGTTTATTAGCACTCATACCTGATATGTAGAAATCCTGGAGGGGGAAAAAAAAGGAAAAAAAAAGTCCTGCCAACATATACTGCACACAGAGCTCCAAGATCTTGTATTCCAAGAGTTATTTTAGTTGTAGAAGCCACGTGGCACCATTACTTGGCACAAAGAGAGGATAAAGAGAGAATGGTCTATGACAGGTGTTGCTTTAAATATTTTGAAGA